AGATGACACTTATCAACAACAGAAACAATACTTCGTTTCATTACAATGATTGCAATCCCCTTCATGTTAACCATTATAGTATTTAACCTCCATTGACTTTCGCTCTTGCACTCCTCCCTATGTCTTACATTTCCTTCATCTTTCCTGTAGCAGCCTCTCTCTTGTATATTACCTTCTCCATCAACCAAGTTAACAGGTGTCTGCCATCTTCCCAGTAAATGATTTTTATATCCCTTCCACCCCTGGTCATCATCAGAGAATGTTTCTTTTAGCATGAAACCTTTTCTAAACTATTTACAACAGTGGTCTCAGACAGTGTTTGTCCTTTGTGATTGACTAATTTCACTCGGCATAATGTCCTCCAGGTTCATCCATCTTATGTGGTGTTTTGCAGATTCATTACTATATTTTAGTGTTGTGAAACATTCCATTGTGTGTATGTACCAAAGTTGGTTTATCCATTCTTCCATTGGTGGGCATTTAGGCCATCTCCATCTTTGTGCTGTTGTGAATGGTACTGCAGTGAACATGGATATGATGTATCCATATCATGGCTCTTGTTTCTTGAGAATATATATATGCCAAGTAGAGGGCTTGCTGGGGATACATTTATATCAATTTCCAACATTTTATAACACATCATACCTTTTTTTTCCACAGTGGTTGTATTATTTTAAGTCCCACCAGCAGTATAGGAGGATCCCAGTCTCTCCACACCCTCGTCAGCCTTTATTGTTTACTGGTTTTTTGAACTTTGTTGTTGATGCTGGATGTCCCAGGAACTCTTGAGACAATTGGAGCTGCCAACTTCTAATTTACCTTCTTAGAAAGGACATTGTATCACTAAAAAAAAATTTTGTTGTTGTTGTTGCTGAGAAAATATATAGCTGAATGTACACACCCATTCAACAGTGTCTGCATGTACAGTTGATGACATTGATGACATTCTTGGAGCTGTGCACCTGTTCTCACCCTCGTGTTCTGAGTTGTTTCTCAGAAAAGGCATCACATCTTTTAAAACCATCTGTTCTCTAAGCACTCCTAGCACATCACACTATTTCTGATAGTCTTGATGACTTAAGGCTAAGAACTGAACACAAAATAATTTTTATGATTCACTTTCCCTGAAACATTTTCTGGTTTGTTCAATTTAGTAACCAGCAGGTGTCATCAGAGAGACAAGCATCCTGAGCATGAGGAAGAGAGATTTTTGTATTTCTGTTTTTCTGTTTATCCTGTAACTAGTTGTTCAGTTTCCTACTGAAGCTAGTGGGAAGCTCTTCAGAAAATTTGCTGTGTATTCAGGTGCAAAGAGCACCATGTTTTTATTTTTCTGGACAGTAAATACCAACTTCAAGTTGAGTAGATTTTCTTTTCTTGAGCTCCCTTGAGACCATTATTTACCTTACTATTTTTAAATCCATGTTTAAATAATACTTCAAGAAATATTTTTCTTTTAAGTACAGTTAATAATTATTAATATAGTTATTAGAACTTTCTATTGATATTATAGTTCTCAAGTGATACACTCATGTATAAGGTTAAGTCAAAATGTATTGCTACAAAATAATTTGTTAAGTGCCTTCGAGTTGATTCTGACTCATAGCGACTCTGTATAGAGTTTCTGAGGAGCAACTGGTGAGTTTGAACCGCCGACCTGTGGTTCAAATAGACCTTGAGATCTAGTGCCTATCCTCCACTTTGGTCTGTACACCTGAAGGCAGTGTATCTCTCTCTCAGACCTGTCCCTGAAGAATTCTGTGCTTTTTGATTTAGACCATGTCAAAACAGCAGTTTTAACATCCTCAAAATTGTGTTTCTTTTAAATGTTCTTTGAATTTTGGGGAACAAGAAGTCTGAAGGGACAAGATCAGGGCTATATGGTAGGTGGAGGATAAAATCTGCCAGCAAAATACTCTTAGCCCTTTCTACCCTTGAAGAATGAGCAGGTACATCGTCATGTTGGGAAACATTCCTCAGTGCAGCTCTCCTAGCCTTTCCCTCATGAGTGCAGTTTTTAATTTTGTGAAAAACTTCTTCTTAGTAAGCCCTGTGATTGTCCCTGGTACTTTGAGAAAATCTGTCAAGATGATCCTTTTGGAATCCTAAAAAATGTTTTCTATAACTTTCTGAGCATCTGGACCTCTTTGACTTGAATTTAACTGGTCCAGCAGATCCTCTCAGAAGCTGCTGTTTTGATTGGCCTATGCTCTCTGCATCATATTGGTAAATCCAAGACTCATCAGTTACAATTTGTTTTGTAAAAAGTTTTCATTAGTTTTGGCCTTACTTAAAATACTGATGAAAGGTCAGCTCTTTGAGTTAGCTGATCTTTGCATAATACTTTTGGCATCCATCAAGCCAAAAGCTTACCAAGACCAAGATGTATGCTTAAAACTGAAAATGCTGAATCATGTGAGATCTCAACTTTAAGTAGCTTTCACATATTCTGTGGTCTTCTGGTGGTTTCTAGACAATTTTCATTCTCTTGGCTTACCTTCCTTCAATTGCTTGATCCATGTGACAACGGTTGTTTTATATGGGGCAGCATTCCCATTAACTTGTTACAAAACTTCAGTGATTTGAGGAAGATATTTCCTTCAGTTTTGTTACAAATTTAATATTAGCCCTGATCTCAAAATTGTTTTATATCATGTCATAAAAAGTATCCTTTTTTTTTTTTAATTACTGGAAGAACTTGTCTTTAGCCGTCCACTGATGGCAGAGGCATGTTAACACACGTTTTGCTTAGGATAAACCACCCAGGCATGTGTGAACTGGAACCTTAGTAGCAGCACCTTTTCACTGACCCTCCCATACATTGTGATCTTATACCTCAGCTTTTAGAAATGTATCTAAAGGGAATAATCAGGAATATGGACATCTTCATTAAAAAAATACTCAATCAAATATTTATAATTAGAAGCAACCCAAGTGTCAGTAATACAGATGTTTATTCATATGATGGAATTGTTTTTGTTAAGTGCCTTCGAGTTGGTTTCAACTAATGGTTTCTGAAGAGCAACTGTGCAACTGGTGGATTTTTGAATTAGGTAGCCATTATTTCCAAAGGTATATTTTAAAATTTATTTTTATCTACAAGTTGTGTTGATCATGACAAGCTATAGACAACATTGAGAAGTATGAGTATTCTAGAACACTTAATTGTGCTCATGAGGAATCT